TTTCCGTGTGTTGGAGTTCCAACATAATTTTCATACACAGATGCATCAATCTCCAGTATATTATGCTGGAACTTTTCGTGTTGCAGTAAAATAGTGGCTATTTTTAAATGAATGTGCAAATGCGGACTATTTTTCAATTACCAATCCGAAAATTGGTTAGCCCATATTTTCACCTTTTGAAAAGGTTAATTTGAGATCCAAGTCCATGAGGTGCAATTAGGAACCATTAAAAGGGACTAGCGGCCAATAAGAAAGAGTTAGGAGAATTGCTTTCACTTAGGGGTCGTTTGGTATGAGGTATAAGAAGGTATAGTGTTGATATAAAAATTTAATACCACCTTAATACTTTGTTTGGTTAGCAAACCTGGTATAAATTATCCCGAAATTAAAATTAGTACCAGGATAACTTATACCTTGTAAAGGATGAGGTAATTAGTGCCAGGATAACTTATACTTTCTTCTTAGAAATTATGTAATTGTCATTTTTAGTACAACATACCAAACGGTGAATAAAAAATAAAATAGAATAACTAATCCCAACATAACTTATCCCAGCCGTATTCAAATCTAACCACCCCTTAGTGAACATACTAATTTGGGCTCCATTTTTTCAAGACAGACGAATATAAAGAGATCATGAACTTATTTCCAGCATAATGACAAAAATTATGTGACTGTATCATTATGACTGAGAAATAAAGCAACAAACAGTTCATCTAAAAAGAAATACTATTTGAATTTATCCACACACGAAAAAAAAAAATTAAATCCAAGTAAAATCCTAGAATACATATATTTATACAAAATAATCTAGAATTTCAAATGGTTCTTTGCGAATAATAACAATGGAAGTGGGGATCTCGAGTTCGAGCCCCTAGTATGGAATCGCCTTTGTTAGGGGCGCTTTATCCCCAATGTGGGACTTTCTGGCGAGAATCCGGATTAGTCGGGCCCCAATGAGGGTATCGGATACTGAGCGAGAAATAAAAAAAAGGGAGAATTACAAAAAAATACAGTTCAGCCACATACATTGCAGCAGAATAACCCAGTTACAACTTTGCAAATCTGTAGCCCATTAACAATAGGCCAACATTTGAAAAATAAGCATTTTTTTCTTTCTTTTTTCATTCTGCAGATCGTCAAGCACGAAAATTCAGTGATTTTTTATTCTTCCTCCCCAAGTTTATATATTCCTATTCCAGCTACAAAAAATTCAAATTCATATATAATGCAACTTGAAAACCTAAGTTTTCTTCTTTTCCAACTTCCAAATAGCATAAATAAAAAATAAAAATTGAAAAAATTATTGCACGTTCATGATTTTGCAAATAAATCAACAAGAAAAATCAATTTATACATAGGTTGAACATATAAAATTTTAATTTTAGATTTAACTACACATGTGCATTACATGTATAATGATGTATAACTTTGTATAAACTTGTATATACAATCTCTAATAATGTATATCAGAAAAATAAGACAAAGAAGAAGAAAAGAAGAAAGTGTCAAACATTCATGGATGCCTACTATACACGTACAATGTATATAAACACTTATACATTAAAAATATATCTAATTTGTACAACATTGTACGCATATATACATACTTATACATATTTATACAATATTGTATAAGTTTGTATAAACACCACCTATACAAGTTTACACCAGAAAACACCTTCTGTCCATCACCACATTACAGTTTCGGTGGTTGCTGGTGTTGAATTTTTCCGGCGAGGTTTTGGCATTCAAATCTGAGCTTCACCAGTAGCAAAGGATGAAACAAAAACTAAGAGAAATAAAAAAATATGAGACGAGGCCGTCGGAGATGCTCCTTTTGGCAAGATCTGATAGTTTTAGGCCAAATCTGATAGTTTTTTGACTAATATGCCAAATTTTATTGTGGTTCCTTAACCTTTTTTTGTCAATTTATACAACATTGTACGCATATATACATACTTATACATATTTATACAATATTGTATAAGTTTGTATAAACACTACCTACACAAGTTTACACCAGAAAACACCTTCTGTCCATCACCACATTACAGTTTTCGGTGGTTGCTGGTGTTGAATTTTTCCGACGAGGTTTTGGCATTCAAATCTGGGATTCACCAGTAGCAAAGCATGAAACAAAAACTAAGAGAAATAAGAAAATATGAGACAAGGTCACCGGAGATGCTCTTTTAGGCAAGATCTGATAGTTTTAGGCTAGATCTGATAGTTTTTGGACTGATATACCAAATGTTATTGTGGTTCCTTAACCTTTTTTTGTCAATTAACTCAAAAATCAAAATCTAATTGACATAGAATGGGAGGATTATCACGAGTGTGTACAAAAAAATTCTGTAATTTTTAGGGAGAAGGAAGAGAGAGGCGAGTGAAGAGAGATTGAGTATGCTGGGAAAGAAGAAAGAAGAAAAGAAAAAAACCCTAGAAGTATGTCTTTAATAATGGGCTAAAGACTGAAATATTTCTTTCAAGATATATACAACTTGAGCCAAACCGAATAAAAGCTTCAAACATGGCCATTTTTACTTGGGTTGCTGTGTCAAGTGATTAAAAGCATAATTCTTTAATATATTGTGTAATTTTTACTCAACATTTTATCATCTTAAATGTTTTGCTCCTAACGTAGCAAGAAAGTAATGGGACTTTTTAATGGTCGAGAAATGAAACTTAGAGCTTCAATGAAAATTTGAAAAAGAATACCACAATATGTAAATCCTAATTGACGAATATTAAATGTCCCTTTTGATCTGCTATTTCCATTTTATCTTTATTCTTTCAAGTTTCAATAGCTTGATTACCAAAATAAATTGCTCTGTTAATATGGAATGAATATCCTCTCTTTTGTGACGCTCAATTATCATTATTCTACTCATGCTTGGTTTGGTTTAAGACCAAATCTAGGTTAGAAACCAATTAGTATGGACTCAAAAAAAAATAGAATAACAATTGTTTAAACCTAATGATCATTTGATGGCTCTTTCAATGTTCATATTTCTAACTTAGATTTTTTTCCCTTCAACCAAATTTTTTTCTAATCTAAATTTAACGGTTCTTGTAACAAATTTTGCGCTCTTTGTCCAATTTTTACTTAAAATATCTTATCTACAATTATGAAATACTATGCATAATTCTAATATTTCCAATGATTTATTACCAAAATATAAAAACCAACACAAATTATCACAAAAACAAACCAAAAAGCAATACTCTCGAAAACAAAATCCAAACAAATATATAATTTTTCCGAAAAGAAAAGCAAGACCAAACAACCAAATTGTGAAAAGTGAAAAGCCCTCAGATCTCATAGCTTCAAAATCACAGACGGCTTAAATCGTGATGGAACTCATCAGAAGCCTTTCACACATCACCATAAAGATCAGCTCTATAAAAATATTTAGGGGAAGGAGGAAGGGATTTAAAAAAATGAATTTTTCTTGCTGATTTTCAGGTGATGCAGAAAGGCAACTGATGAATCTAAAACCATCACAGCCGCTCAATTTTATATATATTTTCCATCATCGGGCTTTTTAGAAACCAAATATTGAACTAAAAAAATGAAGATAACAAACTATAAACAAAGATCAAACTAAGAAAATCACGATAAAAAACACAATAATTTATGCATAAAAATAAAGTGAGAACGCGAAGGCGTTCGGCGAAGTCAAAAGTAAACTAGGTCTTCATCTGTGAGTAAAGTTGTGGTGATTATATAGAGGCTGCAAATTTATGAAAGACCTAGGTAACGGTAATGGGTTTAGGCCCGAATCTTGGGCTAGGGTTTAGGCCCGAATCTTGGGCTATTTTAACGAACAAGTGTCACATTGCATTTGAATTTGCCAGACTGGGCCTATGAGCTGCCACTGCAAAACCTCTGATGTTGGGCCAAAATTGTAAAACAAAGAAGAGACAAAGTCAATGAAACTTGCAATCTTTATAGGATTAGTTACCTCCTATACCAAAGGTTTGATACCTTATTTATTTTAAATAAATATCCTTTTAAAAAAGTTATATTCCATAGCTACCTTTTGATTTTTTATAGTCAAATATCTATTTATGGTCATCTCCTACCCTTAAGCCATAAAATAAGCTTTATATTATTTTTCTCTCTCATATCCCCTCATATTTCTCCTATCCCCTACCCCATATCTATTCTCCCTCTCTCTCTCTCTACTTCTCGATGTCTTCTCATCCGCCGGACGCTGGAGCAAAAGCCACCGTCACCGTTTCGACCGCGACCGTTATTCATTGTTACCGCCGCCCTCAGCCTCCAAATCTCATTCACAGTCGAATTTCAATCTCGCTGGAGAAGGAGAAGAAGTCGTGAAATTTCTCTCTCATGTCAAATATTCTTATTTGCTAAAAAAGTACACAAAGTCGACACAGCCAAACAAAAGACAGTGAAATTGTCGCCATTTACAGACAATTGCTCTTGAAAAAGCAATGGAAGAAGTTAAGATTTTGACAGATATTTTCTCGCTGTAATGGAACTTGTATTTTTTGTTAATATATTTCAATGTATCTCGCAGTATTTCATTGTCTTTTCTTTTTATTGTGTTTCAATATGGTATCAGAGCCGAGATCCGTCTAAATCTCGTGCTGAGAATTCGATCGATCCTACGCTCGTGTTCTCTTACTGCCTTTCTATATACTTCGTCTGATTTTGATTTCTTTCGGTGTTCGTGGTCTGGTGCTTGGGTTTTTCTTCGATTTATTCTCCAATATTGTGTTAAATCATCCACTCCCGTGCATCGCGGCGGTGAATTTTTATTTTAGACGATTTCAAGGATTTCGACTCAAATTAGGGGTTGCTCGAATCGAACTTTTATGACGACGGCTATTGAAGTGTTCTCTTCTAGTTGAAGGCTGTAGCTTTTTCCGGTTGCGAAAGAGATTGGTAACATCAATTTCATTCTTCATTGCATCCTCGTATTTCTATTTGCATGATTTAGGTCTTCTATATATTTGATTGTGAATGTGATAACATGACTAATGGAACTCTTGATACATCTTCAACTCCAACAATTTCTCGCACTGCATTTCATGAGGATGATTATACTCATCCATGTCATCCTCTCTATGTTCATCCATCAGATGTTTTGAGGACCTCGTTAGTATCCACCCCGTTTGATGGAACAGGATATGGTAGTTGGAGGCGTAATGTCCTTGTTGCACTCTCAATTAGAAACAAACTAGATTTTATAAATGGAAATTCCCAGAAGCCTTCACCTGTTTCACCTCTTGCCAGACAATGGCAGAGGTTTAATGACCTTGTCATCTCCTGGTTAGTAAACTCCTTGTCTAAGGAAATATCTCACAGTGTGGAGTATTCAGAATTTGCTAGGGAAATTCAGAACGAGTTAGAAGAGAGATATGGTAAGGCCGATGGTGTTGAAGTCTTTGAACTTAAGAAAGAGTTAGCACACATTTCATAGGGGTCTTTTGACATAGCCTCATATTTTAATAAAATCAAACAATTGTGGGATGAGATAGCTTCCAAATCTGCTGGTCGAACTAGGGTATGTTCTTGTGGGGCTAAGTCTACAGAAGACGAGGAACAAAGGGCTTATCAGTTTTTGATGGGTTTGAATGATACATATGTCTAAACCAGGAGTAATATTCTGATGATGAAGCCTCTTCCTTCAATTGGGGCTGTGTATAGCATCATATTATCTGATGAGAAACAGAGGAATGTGTCTTCTGGGACTCAGTTTCCTTCTACCTCTGCATCTTTTAGTGCTGGGGTGTTCAAGCAGTGTTATCCTTCTAAGGTGAATTTTGAACCATCTAAACCAAGTGTCACATACAAAAACTGTAAGACACCTGGCCGTACTATAGACAAGTGCTACAAACTCCATGGTTATCCCCCAAATTTCAAGTTTACTAGATCTCCTAACCTCAGAAAGACTGCTGCACATGTTGAACTTACCAGTCATGCTAAATTTGGGACTGGTGACATATTTACTGAGCATGGTACTCTTTCACAGTCCGAAGATATGTCTGATATCTCTGGACTTACCAAGGATCAATATTCTCAATTGACGTTGTTGCTTCAACAATCACATCTATCTCCTTCTCCATCTACAAGAGTACAAAATTAGAGTAAATACTATAACTAGTCTCAAATACCCAAAGAGAATAACCTCACAAGATCATTCCAAAGAAAAGGTTCACACAAGTATTTTCAAACACTCAACTCTCTTACAAAATAATTTTAATAAATTAAGGAGGAGAAAGAAAGATAGGAGTGAAAAGCTCTTGAATTGGTGTGTCTACAAAAGATGAGATGTTAGAATAGGCCAATTAGATGTATTAGATGCTGGTTAATGTTTTGGGCCTAGTTTTCTTTCTTTACTCTTGTATTTATAGTTAGCCCAGTTGTACAGCCTATTTTATTTTTCATTCTTTCCGGGTCACTATAAATAGTGAAGACCGGTCATGTAATAAAATGCAATGATTCATTTTCAGTACACAGAAGAGAATGGTCTCGAAGCTTCTGTTCTCTGCATACATGGTGTGAACCCTAGCTTCTAATCTTCTTCGTTTCCTCCATTTTCTTCATGTTAACATGGTATCAGAGCCGAGATCCGTCTAAATCTCGTGCTGAGAATTCGATCAATCCTTCTAAGGTGAATTTTGAACCATCTAAACCAAGTGTCACATGCAAAAACTGTAAGAAACCTGGCCATACTATAGACAAGTGCTACAAACTCCATGGTTATCCCCCAAATTTCAAGTTTACTAGATCTCCTAACCTTAGAAAGACTGCTGCACATGTTGAACTTACAAGTCATGCTGAATCTGGGACTGGTGACATCTTTACTGAGTATGGTACTCTTCCACAGTCTGAAGATATGTCTGATATCCCTGGACTTACCAAGGATCAATATTCTCAATTGATGTTGCTGCTTCAACAGTCACATTTGTCTCCTTCTCCATCTACAAGAGTACAAAATTAGAGTGAATACTCTAATTAGCCTCAAATATCNATGTTAGATAGGCCAATTAGATGTATTAGATGCTGGTTAATGTTTTGGCCTAGTTTCTTCTTGGGCCTAGTTTTCTTTCTTTACTCTTGTATTTATAGTTAGCCCAGTTGTACAGCTCATTGTATTTTTTATTCTTTCTGGGTCACTATAAATAGTGAAGACCAGTTATGTAATAAAATGCAATGATTCATTTTCAGTACACAGAACAGATAATGGTCTCGAAGCTTCTGTTCTCTGCATACATGCAATATAAAAAAACAGCGTTTAGCGACAGCCGCATTCCGTCGCTAAAGTTGTTTCGCGACGGATTCAGGTTGGTCCCTAAAATGCTCGTAGCCAGACTCATAGCGATGAAAAAAACCAAACCGTCGCAGAATTAGCGACGGAATATATCTGTAGCAAAGTTTTGCGATGGAAATAAGCATCGCTATATTGCTTGTTTCTGTCGCTATTTTGACGTCTTTCGTCGCTGCAATACATAACAAAATTCGTCATTTGTTCTTATAGCGACGAAAGAGTCTGTCGCTAGACGTGTTATAGCTAATTCTCCTTGCTTTTTGCAACAAAATCCTTTTGTCACTAATTCGCCGCAAGATTTAATTTTACGCGATAATTTTAGCTACGGAAAGTATCCGTCGCTAATTTATTTTTAATATATTGCTGATTTTTCAAAATTCTTTTTATTTATTATTTTAAATGTATTCTGTTCAAGCATATTACATAAAATCTATTAAATACACTTAATAAAAAGTTACTGATATTAATATAAATTAACAATATATTCAACAAGCAGGGATTAGGCTCCTCCTCCATTGAAGGATTAGGCTCCGCCTCCATTGAAGGTTCATAAGAATGAGACGACTCAGGTTCAGTATTATTATAAGACTGTCAGCTCAAACCATGGCCAGAATTAGGTCCAGCTGCATCCAAGATCATTTGTCGATATGGATTCTCATATCCCGATTCAGGTTGAGCGCCACCATGCAAATCACCACTAGAAGACATCTCACCGATCACATTTTTTTCTCCTTGATACTTCCAAAGAAAATAGTTCTCAACAAATTCATAATGATAAAGGTGCAATTTAACAGTTTCAACATCCATATATTTAATGTTGTGACATTTTTTACATAGACATGTAACATTGTCACCACTCATGCGATTGCTCTGAGAACAAGCAAACTAGAGAAACTTGTTCAGACCAGTTATGAAACTTGAATTAATACCCCCTCGGCCATCCAACCTTTTGTAAATACAATCACGCTCTAGATTGTCCATGTTCCTATTTTAATATTAAAATAAACAAGACCTTAGAGTTCTTTATTTAATAAGACATCAGAATGCTTTCTAAAATGAATAACAAGTTGACATCTGAATAAGCTGAGAATTACTAACACCCCAATCTTGGAATGAAAACAAATCTTAGAATGCTCAGTTCCTTTCTTTGACCAAAATAAGAACCTTAAAGACAAATGAAATGCTATATATTAAGGTTTACATAAGTCGAAAATGATTAGATAACGTAACTAACTAGAGAAAATAGTTGGGGGAAAAAGAATAAAAAAACTAATCCGAAATTCTGAAATGTATAAGCAAATTAGAGATCTAGTCAACATGGCTCTTGATCATCTTTTTTTCCCCAGTAAATATCTCAAGTAGAAGAGAAGCTTAGGTTAGTACACAAGTTCCATATTTTTTTCTAACTTAATCATTCGGAAGATTAAAGTTAAAAGTAGTATCTGTCACACTTTGCTACTGTAGTTTTAGCAATAAGTACTGTTGGGTTGATTGAATTTTGAAGTATATGGTGAATATTTGAATGTAGAACTGTAGAGAAATCAACTGAATTTTTGTACTACTATTAGTTGTAATCTGGAAGCAGACTCTTACTATTGTCTAATAAAACAGCTAAAAGAATGTTGGTCATGCTTTATCATTTCTGTATCAGTATTCTTCTTCATTTAGTTAGAATTATTTCTTCCAAATTCACATAAACTTAATCTTCTTCATTCATTTGTCTAAAAAATTTAAATAATGTCCATTGATATGGTAATCTGAACCATTTTAATATCCCTCTTTTACCTTTCAATTCTGAAACACTATAAAAAAAAGGAAACAGAGTGTAGAACTGAGTTTGTGACGACCCGGCCGGTCGTCTTAAGAATTTACGCCCTGATCCCCTATTAACTGCTTCCCCTAAGTTCATTTCTGCTATTTTGGTTTGCTGGGACGTTCGGTATTGAGTTTCGGAGAGTTTTGGGACACTTAGTCCCTAAATGAGAGCTTAAGTGTTGAAAAATGGTCCGTAGTCGGGACAGTGTGAAGACGACCTCGGAATGGAAATCCTATAGTTCCGTTAGCTCAGTTAGGTGATTTCGGGGTTGGGAGCGTGTTCGGAATGTATTTTGGAAGTCCGTAGCTCATTTAGGCTTGAAATGCCGAAGTTTGAATTTTTGAAGTTTCCGGTCCGATAGTGAATTTTTTATCCGAGGGTCGGATTGGAATTCCGAAAGTTGCAGTAGCTCCGTCATGTCATTTGGGATGTGTGTGAAAAATTTCGGGTCATTCGGACGTGTTTTGGTTAGGTTTTTGATCGAAAGCGTGTTTTGATGAAACATTGAAGTTCTTAGGCTCAAATCCTTGTTTAATTCGAGTTTTCGGCGTTGTTTTAGGTGGTTTAAGGATTGGTACAAGTTTGAATGATGTTATGGGATATATCCGTAGGTTAGGTTGAGGTCCCGGGGCCGTCGGGTGTGTTTCGAATGCTCAACGGAGCATTTTTGTGTTGTTAAAAATTGCAGAAAACTGAACTCAGCTGTTGCAGACTTTTCCTCTTCGCGATCGCGGCCTCCCTCTCGCGTTCGCATAGTGTAATCTTGGAGGGAGGCCAGTTTCTTCATCGCGTTCGCATAAACTTCGCCGCGTTCGCGTACCTATGCCAGTCAGTTCTTCGCGTTCGCGAACGCTTGCACGCGTTCGCGTAGAACAACCTCTGGACCTCAGCATTTTCCTTAATCGCGATCGCGTTACAGGCCACGCGTTCGCGTAGCTCTAAACATCCCAGGCCTTCGCGTTCGCATCCTACTCCTCGCGATCGCGAAGAGCATCTTTGACATCTTCCATTTTTCTTCTCCGCGAACGCGATTTAATCTCCGCGTTTGCGATGCATTGATTGTCTTGACAGTATTTAACATTTCAAAAACGAGGGTTAGCCATTTTTAACAAAACTCAAGCTAGAGAGCTCGGATTTGGGAGAAATTCCGAGGGGTTTTCAAGAGCAACGATTGGGTAACGATTCTCTACTCTCTTATGCTTAATACCCACTAATCTAATCACGAATTCATCCTTAATTTCGGATTTTTGAATGAAAAATGGGTAAAACTTCATAGACCAAACTATTAAGTTTTGAGTGGGTGTTTGACCTCCGATTTGGGAGATTTTTATATGGTTAGACTCGTGAGAGTACGAGGATTCTGAAAATATAAAAATTATCCGATTTCGAGACGTTGGCCTGAGGGGCGTTTTGGTCATTTTACCTAATTTCGCGTCTTGTCTTTGAATTTAATAGTAGAATCAGTTGTTTGAGATGTTATTTACGATATGTAATTGAATTGAATAGATTTGGGCCATTTGGAGACGAATACTCGTGGCAAAAGTGTGATTTCGAGTTGATTTTTGGAGCCGGTTCGAGGTAAGTGGCTTGTCTAACCTTGTGTGGGGGACCTTTCCCCTTAGGATACGATATTTGGTATTTGAGTGTCTTGTACGTGAGGTGACGAGCGCGTACTTGAGCTAATTGTTGAGAAATCCGATTTTTACTTAAGATATTGAGACCGAGTTTCCTTCATATGTGCCTTATTTTACTTGCAATTATAACCAGTGTTAGATTAGAAAAGCATGTTTAGTTGATTTGACTTTCCTAATTGTTTAAGTTGCCTTGACTGTACTACGTGAAGCATGCTAGGCTAGTATTACCTGATGCTTGTCTTTTGTACTTCATTTCTGAATATCTTCTAGTTGATATATATATATATATATATATATATATATATATATATATATATATATATATTATTGGTTGCGCATTTATATTGGGACTACGGATGTGGGATTTCGGTAGCTCCCCCCCCCCCTTGTTTTTACTTTGGGACTGCGGGTTAGATTCCCGATAGATCCCCTGGACAGTTGAGAAAAAGACTACAAGACGGTATCCTGGGAGATCCTCATTGTTACTAGTGGTATTGAGCTGTACTTATTCTGTGTTTGCTCCGTTCTTTGTGTATTTGTTATTGCTTGTTTAGTCTGTCTTATTCCACTGCTGTACTCACTGTTACTGCCTATTTTCATACTATTGATTTATATTATATTGTTTAACCTCAGTAGGGCCCTGACCTTCCTCGTCACTACCCAACCGAGGTTAGGCTTGGCGCTTACTGAGTACCGCTGTGGTGTACTCATGCCCTTCCTACGCGTGTTTTTCATGTGCAGATCCAGGTACCTCCACTCAGGCGCACTATCCCTGAGGCGGGGAGAGCTACGGAGACTTCGAGGTATATCTGCAGCGTCCGCAGACCGAAGAGTCTCCTTCCTTATTCTATCTGTAGTGTTTAGATTCTATCATACTTTTGATGTAGACGTTCTGTAGATTAGAGCATTTACCGTATTTCTATTAGCCCGTGGTTCTCGTGAGTTTCCGGGTTTTGGGATGGTGTTGTAGACTTTCGCATTTCCTTTGAGTTGTATAGGCCGAGCGGCCTTATATGCAGTTATTATTTTGATATGTTCAGTTCTAATTAATTATTCCGCAAGTTAGGTTGTTATTTCCGCATTGTTAGGCTTACCTAGTTATAGGGACTAGGTACCATCACGACATGTTCACGGAGGGTGAACTGGGGTCGTGACAGAATTCAATGGTGTTTATCTGCTAGTTATGATGATCTTTTTCCTTTTACTTTTGTGGTAATTGGAAT